TCGGAGACCGGTGGTAATTCCATTCTTTTCATCTGAAATCGGGACACGAACTCCCGTAGCATCTCGTCATCCTTTTGCTTTATTTTGAAGACGTCCGATTTTCTTGTGGCCACCTTTATAGCCCAAGCATGTGCTTTCACGAAGGCGTCCGCCAACATAGCAAATGAATCTATTGAGTTAGGAGCTAAGTTGTGATACCATATCATAGCTCCTTTTGATAGTGTTTCCCCAAACTTTTTCCATAATACTGACTCGATTTCATTGTCATTAGTGTATGAAGTAATATGTTTGTTAGGGTTAGTTGTTCCGTTGTATTTTGGTATATCGGGCATGCGAAATTTCTTGGGAATGGGCATCGGAGCCGCACTTGGGGGGAACGGTTTTTGTATGAATTTCTTAGCATCTAGACCTTTCAAAACTAGAGGTGCTCCCGGTATTTGGTCTACCCGGGAGTTATAAGTTTCCACTTTTTTATCATTGTCTTCTATCTTCTTTTCTCCCGACTCGATTCTTTTAGTCAGTTCTTCGAGCATTTTTATGATTGTGGGGTTAGTCCCCGAGCCGCTTTCGTTGGGCCTTTCTAGCGTTGGCTCGTGCCGGGCATTTACTGGTTCGGCGGTGTTAGGAGTTCTGTTCTAACTCTGAAGCTGAGCGATGGCGACTTGCTGAGCCTGCAACATCTCGAATATCACTAGGAGGCTGACTCCTCCTTCTTCCATCCCTCGTGTTTCCTGGCCTCCAGCTCAGGTTTCCCTATGTGGGTTCCTTGCAGGGTATGTGCCTGCGTCCGTGTTTAAAGCGTTGTGCGAACTGATATCAACTGGCTCCACGTTTGGCACTCCCTCAGGGTTTATGGGTGGTATACTGAACCTATACCGCTGTTTTCTCCAAGACCTTCGTCCTCGTGAATAGGCGCATTCTGTGTGCTACACATGTTTAAGCCTGAAATCAAAGAATCTTTGACAAGAAAAAGTTTAAAGAATAACGTGCGTTATCAGAAAACTAGCACTAAAACAATCACTATTATCTTTAGCCCCACGGTGGGCGCCAAACTGTTTACCTCGAAAAATGGGGGTAACAATTAAATGTAATTTGTGATTTTAAAGATATGTGATTTATTCTAATACTAGTGAATATACAAATAATATTAAGTTTAAATAAGAAGAATTGATGAACCAAACCAGTGTTGCTATAACAATGAGGACCTCTAAGAACAATGGAGTATGAACAATAAAGTAAAAAGCAATAAAGCTGAAGAACACTTGTTGAGCACGTTAAACAAGAGAAACAACAACAACAAACCCAGTTTGATCCCATTATGCGGGGTCTGGGGAGGGTAGTCTGTACGCAGACCTTACCCCTACCTAATGCAGGTAGAGAGGCTGTTTCCACGTTAAACAAGAGAAACATAGTAGAATATTCTGTTGCAGTGAATAATGTGAGATAAAAATGATTGGGGTCCCCTTTATATAGGAGGAGAAAACCCCAATATAGTACATTCCTAATTGAGGTAAAGAATTCTATTGGTACAAGTGTATAACAACCTAGTACGGACCTGTACCATATCGTACAGATCGTATCCTTTAATTTATGCCCTGATCCACGTGTCCTTGAGAAATTCCCGCTCTTTCTTGATTGCCCCCGAGAATGTACTCCCCTCGATGCGCCAGGTCTTCGATCTGCTTCTCCGAGGTGCATGTCCTCCGACCGGGTCCGACCTCTACCTCGAGTCACCCGGACTTGGACTCATAACCCAATTTAAGGCTTCGAAATCGGACTTCTTGATTTTGACCGTATGCAATAGTGTTTATTTGCTGATGCTTTTGTTAGTTTTCTGTTAAAAGAGATAGAGTTAATTATCATGTGCTTTTCTTTTTTCAAGAAAATGAATAATAAAGATGGATGCATTTAGGTGGAGTGAAAGTTCACTTATTTGTTGTATTTGAATGTCTTTTGGCATATAGTTTCAAATGTGAATATCTCTTTACACCTTAAAGTGGGGTTCCTTACTCCTTAAACATTTGTTTAATGAATTTATAGCTATGTCTTTATGTTATGTTTGATTTTCATGATTTTGGATGAAGAGATCGACGAGGATGTTACACATCGTATTGGGGCGAGATGGATGAAATGGAGGCTCGCTTTAGGTGTTTTGTGTGATAAGAATGTGCCACCTAAACTTAAAGGTAAGTTTTATAAAGCAGTGGTCAGACTGACTATGTTATATGGGGCTGAGTGTTGGCCAGTCAAGAACTCTCATGTCCAAAAGATGAAGGTGGCTGAAATGTGAATGTTGAAATGGATGTACGGGCATACCAGACTGGATAGAATTAGAAATGAAGTTATTCCGGATAATGTGGGTGTGACCCTTGTGGAGGACAAGATGCGAGAGGCGAGACTTAGATGGTTCAGAAATGTGAAGAGGAGAGACGCGGATGCACCAGTGAGGTGTGAGCAGTTGGCCCTGGAGGGTCTAAGGAGAGGTAGAGATAGACCGAAAAAGTATTTGGGAGAGGTGATTAGGCAAGATATGGCGTTGCACCAGCTCACTGAGGACATGACTATAAATAGGAAGGTGTGGAGGTTGAGAATAAAGGTAAAGGGTTAGAATAGGTCGCCTAGCGGTATCCTAGCATGTAACAATAGCTTTAGTACATGAGTTAGCATTATTATTTATTTTCGTATTCCTTGATTTATGTGATTACTTTAGGAGGTTGGTGGAACAGTACAGAGATAGGAAGAGGGATTTGCACATGGTGTTTATTGACCTAGAGAAGACGTATGACAAGGTCCCTAGGGACGTCCTTTGGAGATGCCTGGAGGTGAAAGGTGTACCAGTAGCTTATATTAGCTTATATTAGGGCGATAAAAGATATGTATGATGGATCTAAGACTCGGGTTAGGACAATGGGAGGTGACTCAGAGCCTTTTCCGGTGGTTATGAGATTACACCAAGGATCTGTGCTCAGCCCGTTCTTATTTGCCCTGTCGATGGATGCACTGACACACCATATTCAAGGGGAGGTGCCTTGGTGTATGTTGTTCGCAGATGATATAGTTCTGATTGATGAGACGCGAGGCAGCGTTAGCGAGAGACTGTAGGAATGGAGGCAGGCCCTGGAGTCTAAAGATTTCAAGTTGAGTAGGACCAAGACGGAATATTTGGAGGGTAAGTTTAGCGACGTGTCGGGGAAACGGATGTGGAAGTGAAGCTTGACTCACAAGTCATCCCTAAAAGAGAGAGTTTCAATTACCTAGGGTCTATTATCCAGTGAGATGGGGAGATCGACGGGGATGTCATACACCGTATTGGGGTGGTGTGGATGAAATGGAGGTTAGCGTCTGGAGTCTTGTGTGACAAGAATGTACTACTGAAACTTAAAGGTAAGTTGTACAAAGTGGTGGTTAGACCAGCCATGTTGTATGGGGCTGAGTGTTGGCCAGTCAAGATTTCACATATTCAGAAGATGTAAGTAGCAGAAATGAGGATGTTGAGATGGATGTGCGGGCACACTCGAATGGATAACATTAGGAATGAGGATATACGGGAGAGGGTGGGCGTGACCCCCGTGGATGACAAGATGGTGAAGCGAGGCTTAAGTGGTTCGGGCACGCGCGGAGGAGCCTAGATGCTCCGGTTAGGAGGTGTGAGCGTTTGGTTCTGGCAGTTACGAGTAGAGGTAGAGGACGGCCTAAGAAGTACTGGGGCGAGGTGATCGGGCAGGAAATGACGCAACTTCAAATTTCCGAGGACATGACCTTTGATAGGAAGGTGTGGAGGTCGAGCATTAGGGTTGTAGGTTAGAGGGTAGTCGAGCGATTCTCCTCATTGCACCGGCTAGTCTGATAGTGTTTTGTCTAAGACTGTTAGCGGTTTTTGTTGTGTTTCACAATTTTTATTTTTTTATCTTTTATTGTTGTTGTTGCTGTCTTTCACATTTTGGCCTTTCCATTTATTTGTTATAATTTACGATGCTGATATTATTTTTCTGGTTTCTGTTGTGATTACAGATCTATTGTCTCTGAGCCTTGGGTCTCCCGGAGACAGCCTCTCTATCCCTTCGGGGTAGGGGTAAGGTCTGCGTACATTCTACCCTCCCCAGACCCCACTAGTGGGATTCTACTGGGTTGTTGATTTATGTGATTACTTGTCGTTGCTTTTGTTTCGACGTTCTGATTACAATACTCAGTTTTAGTTTTGTATCTCTGTATTTTTGCTTCGGTTTTATAATTGGTGTGATTGGTGTTACCCTTCCTTTTATCTTTACTAAGCCGAGGGTCTTTTGGGAAATAACCTCTGCCTTCTTGAAGGTAGGGATAAGGTTTGCGTACGTACTACCCTCCTCAAACCCTACTTGTGAGATTACACTGGGCCTATTATTTGGACACTGGCGCCACAAGTGTGATTCGAACGCAATACCTTCCATACATTTTGAACCCCCTTTACCACCTCAAGAGACAGTGCACTTGGTTAAAGTGGGTTCAAATTTATATTTCTATACGTATTTTTGCTGTTTCAAATGTAATTTACTAATATACGCAGTGTAATTTTTTAGCGAAGCGGGTTCAACTGACCCCGCTTGACACCATGTGGGTCCGCTCATGGATATAGTAAGCATATGTTTCTTTTTATTTGATAGAGGGCCAACAATGTTTTTTCTCACTGCTCCGCTTGAGGACTCGAACACTTCACCTCTTTGTTGAAGGTGAAGGGTTCAACCATCTATATTAGTGCTCAGTTGTGAAATAGTGTCTTAAGATGGGAACGACGGAATACAATATAGTCACTGAGTGACAAATATGCTAATTATTGCCAGTCATTTCCTCAGGATGGATGCTAAAAGTGAAATAGCAATTGTCAAATGTAAATGTTAGATGTGAATTTTCTGCATCAGCACTGTGGTTAACTGTAGTGTTTTCAAGGTATTATAAAGTTGTGTCTGTATTAGTGTTTTCAGTTTTTTTACAAGTTCTGACCACTTGAAGACAATCTTGACCAGTTTTATAACAATCCAAGCAATGAATATCTTGCAAAACTGGTTTTAAAGCCTTTAGCCCCTGAACGGCGATGGAAGTTCATATGTGAGCCTTTGCATCATGAAGTGCGCCTTCTATCGAAAAAGATCCCAGTAACAAAATTTCTGAATCTTCAGGTTTAGCTATTTGTTCTTCCCCCCATACTAATCTATTACTGCTTGCAACCGTTATCTGTCTATATTTATTGATTCTAACATCGAGTTTTTGCAGGTAGGAATAGGCCATAATTTTCAGATGCATGCAACAGGCTGGAAATGGAAGCTCACGACTTGTTTGGGTGGAGATGGTGTCTCCAGGATCCGGAATAAGACGTCACTTGGATTATGTCCCGGTGTGGATTTTCGTTTCGGGTGGAGAGCAGACTATGTTCTTCCTGAAATTACTGGGTAAGTTTGTTTGTCTTGATATGCCTTTTTCATTGTAAGAGATCACTGTGCTTTGTACCCCTGTCAACAGTGGCGGAGGTATTTAAGGGGTGTCAAATCACACCCCTTCGTCAGAAAATTACACTGTGTAGCTACGTAAAAAATTCTTTTTTCTGTATATATACTATATATTGACTCCCCTTGGCTTCTTTGTGGGATTATTTCCTTATATTTTGACTCCCCTCCATGAAAATTTCGGCTCGGCCATTGCCTGTCGATACTGTACTTTTAAATTAAAAGTGACGGAAACTTGATGGTGCGATTATGATCTAGTGATTGATTATCTGGTAATGAATTTTCCATTTGTAGGGCTGTAGGAACCGGTGAACCATTGTTCAATATGAATTCTGGACGATTAGAAGCATCACTGGATAGAGTGGAGGCCATTTTTAGCCAATAAGAATACTTGGTATCTTACTTGTTTATGCTGTCTACTTTATCTTGGAGTGGCACACCCCAATCTCTTTCTGTTTTCCCGGTTACCTGTTTATACTTGTCATTTCTGTTATAGACCTTACTTAGTTGATATTTGATAGTATTTCCTTTGATTAAATTATCATGTTCTATCACCCAAATTTCTTCTAGCTAATTGAAAATTTCGTTTCCACAGATAGCGTGCTGCATTTATGTGCTTTTACTCGTAGAAACATCTTTTTCAGATTTCCTTTTTTGCTTTGTGCTTTTTTGGAGGAGGTAGTGCTAAATGAAATTACTTTTGGACTTTGGTTAACTGTTAGGATGTTCTGTTCAGAATTTGTAATGCTAAAACCACTCCTCGCTGTTTCTTTAAGACAGTGGTGATCCTTTAGGTTTTCAAGTTGTTTCAGCTTTAATTAGTGATCCCATTTCTCACCTAATTACTTCTTCTTTTTTTCAAACTGATCCCTTTTACAATTAGTAAGATCCAACGGAAACTGGAGGAGGAACAAGCCAAGTTGCTTCTTTTCTTAACCTCTTAGGCCTATTTAGTAACTGCCCTAGCATAGTTGCAAGCAGTAGCAGTCATCAACTGTTTCTATGGGCTTGTGAAAAGCAATTGGGTGCTTAATTTATACACTTAAAATGATGAGTATTCGAGTTTGTTGTCCCAATCTATTCAAGTTTGATTTACGCAATACTGTATCTCACTGAATTGCAGTAAACTAAGCATACACAAGAACAAATAGGAGTGAGCAGCGCGTAATGGTGGGTTGTATAGCAGTGCGTAAAATGGATATGTGGTCAACCATGGTGGGTTGTATAGCCAACGGCATACTTCATAGTGTGTGCGTTCCAAGAGCTGATATCTTTGAGAAGTGATGATCATGTTGAAAATACCAGCTCATCTCAAATCCTGTTGTGCAGATTATTATTTTCTGCGTTCTTTAATTTCACTTCTACGCAGTTTTTGATGTACAAAGCAGGATCAGTAAATTTTGTTTTTCATTATTCAGTTTTGGTACACGATGCCTTCAGTCAATGTGGAAAATGCTCAAAGTAACCTCAATTGAAATGATGGCTTTTTTGGATCGTGGAGGATTTTCTTGACATGAATCAATGATTAAAAAATTTACTATAAAATTCCTAGACTCTCTTTGCAGTGTTTACAGAAAATTAGTAAATAAAAACACCAAATGCAGGTAAGTTCTTACCCTAGTGTAGAGCTTCACATTTGAAGCCAAAAAGAGCAGATAATTGATAGAGCAATACAAGACAGTTTCAATTTTTGTGTTCAAAATTTGAAATTCATTCATGTCTTTTTGTCTCTAAAATCAGAATGATTGTGTCCTTGAGGGGATAATCCTAATCATGATAAACATGTTTATCAGTACCTTAGTAATTGTAGCAAGTCATCTAATACACCATCCATCTCAAATTACCAGTTATATTTTTCTTTTACACGGCCGTAAGAAACATAAATTAGAAGAACTTTTTAACTATTTTACCTGTATTTATGTCTTAAGACATAATCTATCTTTATTGTATATTTATTCTATTTATATGCGATCTTTATCTTTGAGAATAATTATTATTAAGGGTAAAATGAGAATAATTAATTTTGTCGAACTTTTAAACTGACAAATAATTTGAAACAACTATTTTAGAAACTAATTAAGACGGAGGGAGTAAATTAATCTGAATTCCGAGGGTTGAATCATCTTGTGGGCCCTTTAATCAACTTCAGGGGAGAAATTTAAAAATAGCCAAATTACAAGGGGTTGCTCAAAAATAGTCCAGTTTCAAAAGTAATCGAAATTTAGTCACTTTTCATGTAAAGATAAATTTGAGCGAAAATACTGTTTAAAAGAAAATACGCCAGTATATTATGCTGGAGTTCCAGCATAAGTATACTTGAACTCCAGCATATTATACTGGAGTTCCAAGATAAGTATGCTGGAGCTCCAGCATAATATGATGGAGTTCCAGCATAATATATTGGAGTTCCAGCAAAGTATATCGGTCCAGTATAATATGCTGGAAGTTCATACACAAGTGCTCGAATCTCCAGTATATTATGTTGGAACTTTCCGCGTGTTGGAGTTCCAGCATAATATGCTGGAAGTTCATATACAGGTGCACCGAACTCTAGTATATTATGCTGGACCGGTCTCTCTTCCAGCAAAATAGTAGCTATTTTTTATCTACTTAATAAATGCTGGTTATTCGGCTAGACCGTACTATTTTTACCATTAAAAGCGACGAAATCCACAGAAATCAAAAGGCTTTTTTAACGTTTACAAAACCTCAAAATGCTCACTCTTTCAAAACCAAAAGGAGGGAACTCTAACTCTGAAACATCAATCGAGACGAAAATGTGGGGTCTGTCCAAATTTAGCCGTTAAATGTTATAATTCCACTATGCCACATATTTCCTCAACGGCCATATTCTCTATATATAGAAACTTAAAACATTTCTACCTGCATCACCAAATATTATCACAATCCAAGTAGAAAAAACAAATATTCCATTCATTTTCAGAAATGGCTTCTTCAAAGCTTAGGCATTCTTGTTCCTTTCCAATTCTACTTCTTTCTTTTCTAAATTTCATTCTGTTCATTCTCTCTGCAGCTTCTGTAGCTCCAATAGTTGTACTCAAAACACCACCAACTTCACTTGGTTGGGCTTTTCTCATGGTTTCTTCCATTTCACTTCTTTCTTGTTTCATTGGTTTTTACTCTCAGCTAACTCATTGTTGCTTCATAACACACATCTCCCTTCTCTTGGCGTCGTGCATTGGCCAATTACTCGGCATTTTAGCCTTGTTCACTAAAGAAAAATCGAGTCTTTCGATACTGAAATCGCCAAGAGACCCTAGAGAAGCAAAAGTTTTGGTGAGATTGGAATGTGGGGTTTTAATGGCTATGTTTGTAATGCAATTGGGAGTTTTGGTTTTGACTTGTGCAGTGCAGAGTTGTTGGGTGAGAGATTATGAAGGTTTAGAGGCAGAAAGAGAGGCATGGTCAAGGAAGAGGAATCAGAGAATAGCTAAAGTTCAAGAAGAGTCAATGGCAAATGCAACCAAGATTTCTGAAATGAAAGCTAAGGAGTTGGATGAGAAGATTAAGAACAAGTATGGACAGTGGGTTAAAACTGATTTTGAAGGTTAAATTCAAAGGGGACAAATTAAGAAGATTTTAAGAGGGTATTTGTGTATGCATTTGTGAGGTGTAGTACTTGTTATGATGATGTTATTGAGTCACTACTGGGTGGCTATTTGGGATTTGGAGATTGATTTTATTTGTGTAAAGCCTTGTTACATCTTCCTTTATCTTGATGCAGAATGTTCCATTTAATTCAGTCACTTGTACTAGCCAACTTCCAGTCTCTAATACATTCAAATGCTTTAAGTTTTGGGTGTCTTTCTATTTTTCAATTTTAGAATTTGGTGGAGCTTTGGCGTAACCGATAAAGTTGTTGTCATGTGATTAAGATGCCACGGATTCGAGTCATGAAAACAGCCTTTTACAGAAATACAGTTAAGATTGCATGACCCTTGTGGTCCGGCCCTTACCCGGACCCCGCGCATAGATGAGCTTAGTGCACCGGGTGCCCTTTTTTAGACGTTGGCGGAGCATGCTAGGAGGACGGGAGAAGCCCAAATAATATGCTTATAATGACTTTCCAGCCATGTTATTGCACATGATCAATACATAAGATTTACAGACAGACCATAAAATAAAGAAAATGGTTAGGAAGAACCTGAAATTATCTATTCTCATTACTTTTAGAAAGTAGAGAAAAGAGGTGATAATAAAAGAAACTTTCTGTATACCGTGCAGTTAAGTATAAAAATTGATTTTAAAGAATGAAATAGTACACTTGGCTATACATGGAATATTGATAAATACGTGCTGATACAACGAATAGTGGACCAACACATGTTTACAAGAAATGGAAATAGCAGAAGTACAATCTTTTCCATTCTTCCCACCCGAGTTAATATTCCATGGATAACCATCAAATTTGCCCAATCTTCAGAAGCATAGTTGGAGCGCATAGTACAATTATGCTGCGTTCAGAAGGATGGCTATTTCCTGAAAGGGAATCTATATATTATCTCATAATTGGTTGGACATAGGTGCGATGATTTACTTCATCAGCGAGGTCTCTGGTTCAAGTCCAGGATGGCCAAGCCGCAAAAGCATTCTTCAATGGACTGTAACAGATAATAATACCACTCTATGCTTAAAGAACAACAAGAAACTTAAAATGCTGCTTGCTTATGCTTCAGTTGAACACCATGTTCACGCAGTGGAACTGTCGAGAAGTTTGAAATCCTTGACCCAGACAAAAATGTGTGAATCCGTTGATTTATCTCAACTGAACTCTTGCCAGGAATCTTTTCCGCTTCCACTTCTTCTAACAAAAACTTCAATCTTGCTACTTCCTCCCACCTCCCAGCTTCAGCATAGATATTTTTCATGAGTATGTAGAAAGGAACTGTCTGGGGATTTAAATCAAGTAGTCGATCTGCTACAGATTCTGCCAGCTCAAGATTGCCATGAATTTTGCAAGCACCAAGCAAAGCTCCCCAAACATCTGCATCAGGCTCAATAGGCATGTTCTCTACAAATTCATAAGCCTCAAGAAGTTGACCTGCTCGTCCAAGAAGATCCACCATACAAGCACATTGCTCCACACCTGGCATTATCGAGTATTCTGTTGTCATGCTCTCAAAGTGATTCCTCCCTTCCTCTACAAGACCTGAATGTCGACAAGCTGTCAATACAGCAGTGAAGGTGAAGCTATTAGGTTGTATTCCTTCTTCTTTCATCCTTGAAAAGAACTCAAGAGCATCTTTCCCATGACCATGAGAAGCACAAGCTCCTATAATTGATGTCCAGGAAACCACGCTTCTATAAGGCAACCTGTCAAAAACATCTCTAGCCAATTCTATACTACCACATTTCGCATACATGTCAATAAGTGCATTTGTGATTGCAACATTGCATTCCAAACATTTGCTTTTGACAAGCTCATGAACCCATTTTCCAGTACCAAGTGCCCCCAACCTGGCACAAGCCGAAATAACAGTAACCAATGTAATATAATCAAACTCTACCCCTTCGTTTAGCATTCTCTGAAATAGATTAATTGTAGCAGAACCGGCATCATTTTGCTCATAAGCAGCAATTATTGTATTCCATGAAACCAGACTATGCTCCTTCATTTGATCAAACAAAGACCTCGCGACGTCAACAAGTCCACACTTTCCATAGAATGCAATCAAAGCGTTAACTAGTGAAACATCTTTTTCCACTCCTAACTTAATACTATAGCCATGAATCAACATTCCCATATCCAAACTCTCCAACCGTGCACAGGCGGGAAGTACACTCACCAAAGTAATAGCATTAGGCAAAGTACCCGAATTGACCATTTTGAGAAAATGTCCTAATCCCTTCTCCGGAATTCCATTTTGCACGTACCCTGCAATCATAGCAGTCCAAGAAACTATATTCCTCACTCTCATTTGATCAAACACCAACTCTGAATCCAAAGTCTCCCCACTCTGCGCGTACAGAGTAATCAAACAACTCTGTACAAACACATCAGATTCAAATCCATGTTTAATAATATTACAATGTACTTCTCTACCTTCTCTCAAAGCCGACTGCACCGAGCAAGATCGAAGCACAAAAGGGAATGTATAGTTATCAGGTACAAAACCCTGTAAATGCATATCTTTGTAAAGGATTATAGCTTCTTGACAAGGACCCAGATTGGAATATCCCCGAATTACGGTGTTCCAAGCAAACACATCTCTTTGAGGCATTTCGTCGAACAGCTTCCGAGCATAGTCCATTGTGGACGATAAAGAGCAAGCCAAAGATACAAACTTGGTACATACTTGGAGGTTGGCGAGGTAACCAGTTGTCAAAGCAAGAACGTGTAACCGTTTCAGGGCTGCGAGGGAATGACATGAATTCAAAAGGTAGCTGAAGGGGAGGAATGATTGGTTGACAGTGGCAGAAGTAGGCAAGTCAAATGGTAGGGTGAAGAGGGGCTCAAGCTTCCTGAGTAGTGTCCTTAGCGAATTGGCTGACATGAAAAGAAGAAATTTGTCATAATTGTACAAACATATGGACTATGCTCTCAATTTGGAGCTTTAGCGGATTGGAGTAAACTAAAAATCAAAGATTTTCATAAATACCAAGTACAACTTTGCTTACTATTTATAAATAATAACCATATTAGTGTTTTTTTTTACTTTAAAACCCTTAAACTATTAGTATCCACATTATATATGAGGATGTTATGAAATAATAAAAGAAGAATTCTTATTGATTTTGGGATGAATTAACAATGGAATAGGACCCCTCTATTTATAGGAAAAGAGTGACTTAGTCATCAAGTAAAATTCCTACAATCTCTCTAAAATAACACCTTAAATAGAATTCTATTTATAACACTCCTCTTGAATGTCTATTCAATAGATAATATGCCTCGTTAAAACCTTAACTAAAATAAAACTCAATGGGAAAAAATTTTAGAGAAGAAAAAAGAGTACACATGCTTAATAATACGCCTTTTGGTTGCCTCGTTAAAACCTTGCAAGGAAAACCCAATGGGACAAGATCTTGTAAGGAAAAAAGAGTACAACGCGTATTAACTCCCCCTGATGAGAGCATCAATTCACATCTTTGAGCCTTCTCATCCCAATCTTGTGCACTAGCTTCTTGAAGATTGACGTCGGCAGAGATTTGATGAATAAAATATCCATATTAACTCCAATGAATATGTTGCACCTTGAAAATCATCGCTATCATATTATCATGCTTATAGTTATAGCAAGATAAATATGTGCACAAATTACACTTATCATATGGTACTTCAGGACCAAGAATTGTACATGTTTCAAGCGATTTAAATCCTTCATGTATTGTCATATAAGTTAAGTCATATAATAGACTTTAATTAGATGTATATCAAGTTTTCATGTCATGCTAGACAAATAAGATATCGAAAACTGATTGCACATACTATTGACTTTATACTTTCAAGTTTTTGAACTACATGTCTTTCATATGGAATCAATTCTACTTGAATTGTTTCTCCAGACATAAGATCCTCTATATATAACATAGAGATCTCTTCATTCATATTTTCAGGTACCTGAACCTCTTCTAAGATTTTATGAAGTACTATGTCATGTGATCTTCTAGATCTCTTGCTTCCTTTATTATGATCATTTTCCCATCTTCTTTATCAAGAAATTTATTTGAAACCGATTTGTCTATACGCTTTAAGCGTACCATAGACTTTGTCCTTCTAGGACTTGTTCTAATGGGAGCATTTGCAATGAGAATATAGTTACTTTCTTTGTGTCAGCAAATGCGTCTAGCATGCTTTGCAATATATTGCAGATGAATTATCTTTTTATGAACTTCAAGTTCATATTATCTTATTCGAGGATCTAGATGTACAAATGATAATTCATTCCACGTAACTTTTTCTCAACTGTTTATCATGTCTTCCCCTTATGTTAGAAAAACTAACTTGTTTCCTTAACTTTGAGAACCCATCTTTGTGTGTTATGGTGTTAATCAAAATATACACCGCACATCAATAATAATAAGATGGAATCATTTGGTTCCTGATCCGAACCACTTGTGAGGGGAGAAAATAATATACTTTCGTTTATAACGTATATCAAACTAATATATATAACTTTGTTCTCATAAGCAATTGTTTAGCTATTAAGTGTAGGCACTCAATAAATTATTTTTGTAAATCAACTGTGATGTAAACCAACTTATCAAGATAAACTATATTGAATAAAAAATGTGAAAATTATGCTCTAAATCAAATTATTGAGAAAGTTACCTCGCAAACACCATGTTGCGGGTTAATAATAATTGCACATATAACCATCTCATAGATGGATCTTATGTGGTATATATGTCAGGTGAATGAGCTCATATTCACTTTTGATATTCCCAGCACTCATGGGATTCAATCCCAATTTTAGTTGGTCTCTTAATTAATAAAAACAAACAACATAAGAGAATTCGTAAAGAACTTTCTAGTTCTTTAATATTTACCCATATGAATTCTCTTTTATTTTTGCACATTATGCTTAAATTGATATGGCTAAACTGATTATGCCAACTGGATGAATTATCAATATTGATAAAGTTCAGATTTACACCATGACGTGTGCAATTATCAATAAACTCCAAGTTTATTATGATATGGATTTTTATGTCAATAAATATCCACTTTATTGTGGTATTCTTTTATTTGTGCAGTACAAACTGGAGAAAAAAGCGGGTAACTTTTCACATACATATTACCATGCTACAAGTTGTAGTAATAGAAGATATTAAATCTTTCATTTATTTATAGTCTCAATATAACCAATCGCTTTCACGAATACTTTAGAAACTCAATTAAGTTTCTTTGAGACTTACTATTGTCACACCTCCTTTTTCGCCCGCGCCGCCCAAAAGGGGCGCAGAAGGAAGTTTTTTCCAATTAAAGGATAATCGAAACGGGATTTATTTATTTATTTCAGAGTCGCCACTTGAAAGATTTATGGTGTCCCAAGTCACCGGTTGAATCCCGAATCGAGGAAAATATTGACTCTGTTTAACAGTCTGCGCACCAGAAATCCGGATAAGGAATTTTGTTAACCCGGGAGAAGGTGTTAGGCATTCCCGAGTTCTGTGGTTTTAGTACGGTCGCTCAACTATCATATTCGGCTTGATTATCTGATACAATACATGTTGAACATATGTGCGAATTTTAACTTTTAACCACTTTTATCATAGACCATTTTTATCGAGAATTGCAACATCGTGAAAATATATCTCGAACCACGTCACATCAATGTACCCGTGGTTACCGACATATTTCGACTCTGTTGAGATTTGGATTTGGGTCACATAAATGTGCACCCGAGTTTAAGAAAATAAATTGTTAAAGGCGCGCCTAAAGCGACTAGCATATCATTATTTTGGGTAAGGCCGTGAAATTTGCTAAACGACTGATCCCGAAGTCTATACAATTATTAACCATTTATTAAGGGCCCCTCAACTTGTGCGTTTTATTTGGCAAGGCTCGTCCCATTTTTTATTTAAGGATATCCTAAATCGACTATGATTTTCTATTTATTTGTTTCTAAGAATAAAGAAAAATCCTAATCAATTAATATTATATGTCTGGGCTTCCAGTTCAAGTCCGGTTTATGCATTCCAAAATAATCCTAATTCATACTATGAGATATCAAGTGAACTACTACTTATACATTAAATTAAACACAAAGAAACAGGGGAAATTCAGAAATCCATTCCAACAACTCTTTACTTCCTTTCCATAGATTTAAAAGCTTTAGAACATGTACCTGAAAGTTACAACAATGAAGAAGGAGGAAGTTAGTAGCAGCAACAACAAAAATACAGCAGCGGAAAGTCCCATACAGTGGCTTCAACACCTCAATCCGGAAATTCCCGCAACACGGAGAAAACCAGTAAAAATGGAGAAGAAAAATAGCCCGGAAGTCTCTCTTTATTTTTTCTTTCTAGCTTTGAACTCTCTATGGTGTTTTTCCGCTCTCAATATTTCAGAAAATTTGGTTCTATTTTTTTTACTCTCTCCAAAATGAATTCTGTCCCTGTATATCTAGTGTATCCAGAGTGTATATCGAGTGTATACCGCTCTCACTGCCCCCTCTTTTTTTCTTCTCTCTATCTAGTTTTTACTCTTTTTTTTTGAACCCCCTTCTTCCTAAATTTTCTCTTCTATTTATAGCAAAATTTTCGAAATTTTCAGATTTGTTTTTTTTATTATTTTTTTATTTTTTAATTAAAAGAAACCCCACTTACAAATTGCTTTTATTTTTTTAGAAAAATAAATCCCACCTTTATTTACTTTTATTT